GTTACATTACCCTTGATCATGCCCTACCAGGCCTCCCACACCCATCTCACCACCAATTTGGATCACTTGTTGTTCCCTTGTCCCTGGGTTTGTTAACACCACTTCCTTCCCCCCCACCTAACCGTCTCCCATGTCCCCAAGAACTGTCAGTCCCGTTGTTTTCTTTTAAATACCTGTTATCCTCCTTGAATGCCTTCCTCAGATAGAAAGTGCCAGAAGCCAGAAAATAATGGTTGTGCCTCTGTCACCTGGGGCATTGCTTGGTATACAGATGCTCCATAAATACTTGTCCTTCCGTTTGCTTCCTGCCACCAAAGGAGTCAGTGCATCAGTCAAATGAAAGAGGTGAAGGAACAGTGTGAAGAGCAGATAGAGGAAGTCACCAAGAAGGGAAATGAAGCCATAGCTCCCAGAGACTCAAATGACAAGAACGAACAAAGTCTGCAGGTAAATTCTCACCTTTTCCTGCCAAAGTGTCCCACGAGGTGTCCTCCCAGCTCTCTGAGGTGCTCCAATCTCTCCTTTGTGGGTTTGGGTCCCTGGATCCCTGGACTGGATTCTGGCTCCAGACCAGAGTATCCATCCATGCTCAGGACTTTACGGGAATTGTTCATTTAACATCACTGTTACCCAGGGAGAGAGCTGCTGTTATTGTTCCTGCCTTGAGAACACTAAGTAAGACCCAAGGAAATGCTTAGGATCTTCGCCCAAGGTTGCACAACTAGTCAGTGGTGATGCTTACCAGGTCTGTTAGGCTGCAAGTCCCATGCTGGCAGCCTCCTCTTGTATAAAGTGGGGCAGTTGATCAAACACAGAATTCTGGGTGGCTTCCTTCCTTCCTCACTTCCTCCCTCCCTCCACATACCAAACAGTTCACCCATGTAAAGTTTACAAGTTTTCATATATTTACCAAATTGTACAATCATCACTACATAAGTTTTAAAACACTTTGATCACCTGAGAAAGAAGCCACTGTGCCTCTTAGCAGTTTTTCTTCATTCCCCCAAGCTTTTCCTTAGATGTCAAATTCACTGTCATCAAGTTGATTCCAACTATGGAGACCCCAGAGGGCAGGGCAGAACTGCCCCCATGTGTTTCCAACACTGTCACTCTTTATGGGAGTAGAAAGCCTCATCTTTCTCCCTCATAGTGGCTGGTGGTTTTAAACTGCTGACCATGTGGGTAGCAGCTCAACACTAGGCCACCAGGGATCCTGGGCAACTGCTGACCTACCTTTTCTCTGTGGGTTTGCCTACTCTAGACAGTCCATGTAAAAGGAATCATATAGTAACTAGTCTTCTGTGACTAGTTTCTTTGACTTAGCATAAAGTTTTAAGGCTCAGTCACATTGTAGAATGTATCAGTACTTTGTACCTTTTTATGGCCAAATAATATTGCATTGTATGGCTATAGCAGGAAAAGATGGAACTTTCTACTTCTGTAAAAATTTAGTCTTGGAAACTGAAGTAGTTTATTGTGCCAACCTGGCCGATAAATGCATATGGGATTAATTGAAGGGCAGAGGGATACATGCATGGCTCAGTGAGCCTAGCCTTTCAAGTTCTCGGGTCTCTTGCTTTCTGATGGTCCCACCAGGGTGCAGCTGCCTTAGCCAGTTCCCCGCTTTAGCTGGCAAGGCTCACTTCCTGCTAGACATCCCCAAGGAAAAGCCACATGGACCTACCCCAATGCAGCCCTGGGTGCTGGAGCAGCTGTGTGGATACCCCTGCTAGCGCTGAGATGTTTACACATTCACGGATTCGGCTTTCCTCCTGCATCATTGTGTCTTGTTTTGTGGGATGGAGGAGGACTTTGTGGATTGGTGTCGGACATATGAGTTAATGGGTTAATGTTTGACTTGAGGTCTTGCGCAGCACTGGGCTGGGATGTTTTCTTGATGTGCACTTAACCTTTATATGAAATTCTCTTATACATGAGTTTCTGTGGATTTGTTTCTCTAAAGTACCCAGACTAACAAAGAAACTTTAGGGCAGTTTGACCCTGTCCTATAGGTTCTCTGTGAGTCGGCATCAGCGCCATGGCAGAGTTTGGCTTTGGTTTGATATGGCTATACTACATTTTGTTTATTCAACTGTCACAGACATTTGAGTTTTCCCTTTCGGTTATAAATAATACTGCTAGAAACATTTGTGTATGTTTTTGTATGGCTACATGTATACCATTCTCTTGGGTATGTACTCCAGATATATTATTAGCAAATATTTTCTCTCATTGTGGGTTATGTTTTTCCTTTCTTAATGTTCATTGAAGCACTAACATTTTAAATTTTGATGGAATTCAGTTTTATCCATTTTTTCTTTTCCTACTTTTTTAGTTTCATATCTAAGAAAGCTTTGCCTAATCTAAGAGCACAAAAGACTTATACCAATGTATTTTTTCCTAAAAGTTTTATAGTTTTATCTCCTACAGTTAGATCTACCATCCTTTTAGAGTTAAATTTTGTATCTGATGTGAGGGAGGGTTATCTCTACATTCCATTTGTCTCAGCACTATTTGTTATAAACATTATTCTTCCTCCCCATTGAATTGTCTTGGCAGTATCCAAAAATCAACTGGCCATAAATCCGAGGTTTCCTTTCTGAATTTTCAATTATATTCAGTTGATCTAGTTTTGATTACTGTAGCTTTATGTTTTTAAATAAAAATTTGTGAGCCTTCAACACACTTTTTTTCCTAGATGGTTTTAGTTAATCCGTAGCTCCTGGAAATTCATGAGTTTTAGGATCAGCTTGTGTCTGTTTCCTCAAAGAAGCCTTCTAGAATTTTTACAGGGATTATGAGTTGGTGGCAGTGGGTTTGGCTTGGTAAAAAGAATCTTTAGATCAATTATGATTACCACCTTAAAAGTATTAGTGTTTTGCAGGCTATGATTATGGGATGTCTTTCCATTTATTTAGGTCTTTATTTTCCTGCAGCATTGTCTTATGTCTCTTTTGTTCTATTTAGTCTGAAATACTTTATTTTTAATACTATTATAAATGGAGTTTTCTTAGTTTCATTTTTTGGTTGTTTATTGCTAGTGTAAGAAGTATAATTTATCTTTTCATATTGATCTTACTAAATTTATTAGTTCTAATAATTTGTGTGGAATCCTTCAGATTTTTATGCATACTATCATTTGCAAATTGGGGTAGCTTTATTATAATTCTTTTCTAATATAGATGCCTTTTAGTTCTTTTACTTGCCTGGTATCTCTGGCAAGAACCTCCAGTATAATGTTAAATAGACGTGGTCAGACCAAGCATACTAATTTTTAATATAAGGGGTAAGCAGTCATTCATTGTACCTTTATGTGTGTAGAGTTTTCACAGATCCCCTTGGCCAGGTTGAGAAAGCTCCCTGGTTCATTTTTCTAACCAAATAATGAAAAGGTGATGGATTTTGTCAAATATTTTTTATTTTTGTCTTTCACTCTTTCTATGCTATATTACACTAAATGATTTTTGGATGTTACGCTAACCATGAATTCCTGGACAAATCCTATTGGGTTGTGGTATATGATCCTTTTATATATTGCTGGATTTATTTTGCTAGTATGTTATTGAGGATTTTAGTGTCAGCTGTTCCATTTCCTTGTTAGTGGCTATTGTTTAGTTTTCTTTTGTCTGATTTTGGTAGTGTGGTAGTTAATAAATGTCATGTCAACTTGATAGAGTGAAGGGGTAGAGTCTAGCCTGTCAATCGGATCACAGCCTGATGGTGCCTCCTTGTGGGCATGGCCTTCTCATAAGGGGGGTCCTGGGAACCTCCCCCTCGCTACCTCTGCTTTACTTTCCTGCTGTGGGATCACTCTTGAGAGCTGCCAGCGACACTGCCATTGGATCCAGAAGACTTTTGCACTCACCGGCCAGTGATGTTTATAAAGTTTGTACACTGTGTGTCTATTTTCATTCACCTCAGAGTATTCCTGATTACGCCTTGTAATTTATTCCGTGACCCATCATGGATTATTTAGGAACATAGTAATTTCCACACTTGTGAATTTCTCAAGTTTCATTCTCTTATTGATGTATCATTTAATTATAGTTAGAGAACATAGTTTCTATGACTTAAGTCTTTATAAGTTTACTGAATTTTGCTTTTATGGCATAAACATCCTGGGGAATTGTCCATGGACGCTTGAAGAGAAGGTGTATTTGCCCTTGGGTCATACTGTGATGCCTGATTGGTTTGTGGGGTTGTTTAAATCTATTTATTGATCTGGTTCATTTTTCTATTTGCTATTGAAAGTACCTTCTGGGTTATCTTCACCCAACCTCAAGTTTCCTGATTTAAGTTCTGCCTATACGACACGGTTAGGTGTGAGACACAGAATGCAGCATTTCCCAGGGTCTCTGTGTTCTCAATTGTCAGATGTGGCGGTTCGTTGTGTCTCCTGGGTTGGTTGCAGTTTGTAATCACAGAGGCCCTGCTGCCATCTTGTGCTCGTGTTTCAGCTCCGAGCCCCCAACAAGCCTCTGGCCAGATCACAGGAATCAGGCCCTCCACAGGCAGAGGAGCCACAAGGGAAAGGAAACATACGCAGCAATGTGGAGCCCCAGACACCAGCCCCCAGCTCTGAAACAGCTTTAGATTTGAAGAAACAAGGTGAGAAGGGTAAACTGAGGCGACCCTTGTATACCCTCCTCAGCAGCAGCGCATGGCTTCCACCTTATCTAAGTAAGCAGACATAGTCTTGCAGGGCACAGCACAGACAGCAGCTCAGGGATAGGGCTGGTGGGTGGCAGGTCAGTGTCTGGGCACCTTGAATTGGGACTACAGGGGCTTAACTGATGGATCCTTATTCCTGTAAACTAAGTGCCTTATCCTTTGGAAACTGTGTAAGGTAGGATCTAGGCTTTGCCTGTATTTGGACATCAATGAAATTTAGGAGAGGGAACCGAGTCCTGCGCTGTTGCCATTTGGTCACTGTCTCCCTGCATACTAGCTCTAAGTCACACACTCAGGAGCACACCTCCTCGCTACAATTATGATTTTTTCTTTTTGGATGCATTATTCCTGGCTCACGGTTTTCAAAATGAGCCTCAGCCACAGAGGCCCAAGCTCACAAAATACATCTGCCCAATTTCTACTGTACTGCATCCTCTGGGGAAGCCCTGAGTAGTCAAGTGCACTCATTGTTTTTACTTTACATTGAGGCCTGTAATGCTACAATGAACTGTTCTGTGCAGAGGAAACCAATGAGATTCAGATGGTCAACGAAGAGGAGACTCAGATCCCAGGGCTGCCGCAGGAGCCAGCCCTGGAGCAGGCCACCAAAGATGACAAGCTCTCAGAGGGAAGAGGTGTCGGGGAAGCTGGAGAACTTGGCCAAACTTCACAGGTGTCAGCTGCCCTGCTGGCAAACCAAGAAAATGCAGAGGATGAGGACCCTGAGCGGGACCAGCTCATAATCCGTGAGGCCCAGGAGGAGGAGGAGGAGCAGGGTGCTGGTGAACGAGGTGGGTGAGAGCCCCAAGCTGCCTGCGACTCCAGCTGCTAGCCCTCAGCCCTGTTCATCTTCTTCCTAAGACAGCAGAAGCCCCACAGATTCTCAGTGACATCAATTTAGGATTTAGTGGTTCCCTTTGATACTTCTCAAGGAGAAGTGCACTCTGACACTTTTGAGGTTCGGAAATATTAACTAGAAATTGAGGAGACTTTCAATTGGGAGAGTTAGCATCAAGGAAGTGTGTTCTCTGGCAGACTGACCACACACCCTAAGTCCTCTTTCATGCAGGGCCAGGTACAAATGTAGATTCTCTGTAAAGCCTGGTGAGTCAGTGAAGGGCTAGGCAGATGGGTTTAACGTATTTTAAGTGACATGTAAGCCCACCTTTCGGGATCAGTTGACATTTGAAAGAAATACAGGAAAGTATGGTAAATAGAGACTCGGAATATTCTGGGATGGATTTTTAACTCTTTCCATCCCAGCTGTGCCAGGAGCAGGGATGTAATGCAACCTGTACCTGGGGTGGTACGTAGCACAGAAGTTGGAGAATTAAACGACAAAGTTGGCAGTTCAAATCCAGCAACTGCTCTGCAGGAAAAAGATGGTACTGTCAACTTCCATAAAGATTTGAAGTCTTCGGAATTCTGTGTAGTAGTACTACTACTCTCTCCTGTAGGTACTATGAGTGGGAATTGACTCGAAGGCAATGAGTTTGGTTTGGGTACTTGTAAACAGATGTAAAATACTCGTTAAACTTTTTAGATGTCTCCTGATCTTAATTTGGAGCTACTATTCTTAAGGATGAATATGGTCATAAGTGAGCTAATTCTGTATGATGGGCAATTTTATCCTTTGGTTCACAGTTAGTGAAATTGAGTCAATTCCATTCACAGTGACCCCATAGGGCAGAGGAGAACTGTCCCTGTGCGTTTCTGAAGCTGGAAATACTTATAGTAGAAAGCTTCATCTTTCTCATTTCAAACTGCTGACTTTGCAGTTAGCAGCCCAATGGGTAACCCACTACACCACCAGGGCTCCTTTATATTACTATGCTTTTCATTCCCTGAAGTAGTGAGTCCTTTCGAAATGCCAATGACAACTAGAAACAAAACTTGTTTTCTTAAAACAATGACACCTTTGAGTTTATCATCTCTTAAAAACTGGGATTTTGGTTTGTTGAGTTTCCAATGTCCAGTAGGAATATGGCCCCTTGTTTAGACTGTATCTTCTATCAAGTAGAGTTGAATTGGAGCATACATGTGCAGAAGACTCATGCATGATATCTGTTTCTACCATTTCCTTCAAGGCAGGAAAAGAGCTACTGATAGATGACCCTCCAGGACCTTGGCACTGGTGTTTCTGTGACATAAGTAGAGAAGTAACATAGCTTATCTATTTTGTGTCTGTGCTGATTATACAGGGAGACACCCACAAAAACGAGATGACTACAACATGGAAGATAATCAGGTCGAATCTAAAATAGACGAGGCAGTCCTTCTGGAGAATAACAAAAGCATAAATGGTAAATACTGTGGTGGGGTCATTTTCATGTTTCTTTTTGTCCTTTATGCCCTTTCCCTGGTTCTTCAATTTGGAACTGACCATACCACGCATGAATCCCAACAGTATTGTTTTAAGTCATCCATCATTTGATGATTTTCTCAGAAGCCTTTGAAAATAGGGCAATGGAGGGAAGGAAAAGGTTGATGTCCAAGATGATAAAGACATTTCAGTGGGTTTTAAGCCCTCACTTATGACTAGAGGGTCTTCCTTTTTTCTTTTGCGTGACATTAGGGACTTTGCAACAGATGGCTAGGTGATTTACTTGGTCACTCTACTTTATCAAGTAGTTCAAATCTGCACCTTGTATTACTTATTCTTTTGACTTTGAAATCAGACTCCAGGCTCATTTATTTGAACTCAGGTTGGACACTTGTGTAGCTGACATTTCTGCATCCCACCAGGAAGCACCTATCAGATTTTCCTGGTCCCAGCAATCCATTTAAAATTTAGAATGCCCTTTGTAACTAGTTAGTAACCAATGAGAGAAGCTTGGAGTTAGGGCTACCCTGCCTTTCATTTAGGAACCTGGCCTAAATCTCATTACCTTGTTGAAAAGTGGTAATTTTACCAGTTCTGTCATCCCCACAGTTTGAGCTGGAATGATTTTTAATGCTCTCCTAGCACCACTCCTGTCCCCATTGAATTCATTCTTCTATTGCATTCTTGGCATTTTTAAGACATCTTATTATATGTTAGGGAGGTAACTCTTGTGATACAAGTTGTAAACACTTTCTGCCACTTTGCCTTTGTTTTTTACCTATGTAGGATTCTTCTTTCTGGCCATGCAGATTAGGGGAGAAAAAGGTTCTTTTAATTGTTTCAGGATATTGATGCAAAGTTGGATTTTTCCACATCTCATATTAAAGGAATGTTTTCATCTATATGCTTTCCATTTTTTCTTTTAGTAAAACACACGGCTTCCACAATGGATGGATGTATGGATGTATGGATTGTGTTAAGAGTTATATGAGCCCCCAATAAAATTATTTTTTAAAGGAAAAAAAATACCAAAAAACACAGCTTCAGAAAACCACAGTGCTTTGCTGCTGCCTCCTTAGTCAAGAAATAGAACTAGACTCCAGAGACCCTCGTGCATCCCATGTGAAGGCCACCTACAGTCAATGCCTTATGTTTCTTTATGGGTTTGTCACCCAGGAGGGCATCTGTGGACAGTTCAGCCTTGTCTATTAATTTGATCCCCTTAATCTTCCAGTTTCCTCCATCCAGTCATTCTTTTCTTTCCAGCCAACGAGTCCAAGCTGTTTGGTCTGTCGTTCCCCACAGGCTGGCTAGTACTGAATATTTATGGTGTAGTTTAAATGTTTCTGTATCCTGCAAAATTGCAGCTGGGTCCAGAGACTTCGGTTCAGGCTCAAGTCTGGCGTGTTCTTTCTTCAAAGGCACTGAATAACTGGTCTCTTATTGTGATGTTGAAAGTGCCAGATTGTTAGGTGTCCCTGGTGGTGCAAAAGGTTAAGTACCTAAGCAGTAACCCAAGGCTGGTAATCTGAACCTATCCAGAAGCACTTCAGAAGACAGGCCTGGTGATCTGCCTTTAAAAGGTAACAGCTTTGAAAACCCTTTGGAGCAATTCTACTCTGCACATATGGGGTTTCTCTAAGTCAGAATGGAGCCAATGGCAATTAATAATTGTATATTTTCCTTTTCATTTGTCTACACAAATTATCTTTTTTAAGACACCTTACCTACTTTTTGTCACCAAGTGGTATTCACGTTTAAGAGTGACAGTATCAAAGGTTGGGTCTCCTTGCCATTTATGAGTTTCCATCATAATGAATTATTTAGCCTCTGAAGGTCGCCATTTAGAAAAAAAATATTTTTGATATGTTTCAAGTTTTATTATCCTTTTGATCCCTCAAACAACCCCTTTCTTTAGCCAGTGGAATTCCCCCCACTTTGTGTTGTAGGTAAATACTTACCCAACAAGTTAGATATTCTCTAACAATTTTTACACAAATTGTTCCATGCTATTAGTTGCAATTTCTACATTGTGTCAATTTCCATTGTTTCTTTCTTTCCTTCCCGCCTAACCTTTTCACATTTGCTTTTGGGTGAATGTTGACCATTTGATCTAATTGTCTAAGGGAGCACATTCCTTATCCGTGATACTGTTATAAGTGAAACATAGTACTTAACTGAAAGGTGACCTGCAGAAATAGTTTAAATCCCACTTTTTTTTTTAATCCCACATTTAAAGAGTAATTTAGGATGATAGTTTTGGGCATTCCCCTATTTCAGTTGATCCAATAGATCTGGCCTTTTTCAGGAGTTTAGGGTTTTTACCTTTCACTTCCATTTTATCCAGGACCCTCTGTTGTCTCACTGGTCGGAACTATTTGGTAGTGGTAAGTGGGCACCACCTAAAGCCCTGTGAATTAGTTCCCCCTCACTTAGCAGTTTCCCTGTGTCTACCTGGAAAGGAGTCTTTATTCCTGTCGGGAATCCATGGGGTTTGGGCTTTGTCAGCTTGCTTCCCCGAACAGGCAACATTGGGCCAGCATGCCTCCAGGTATGTACTGTTGGTCTGGAGGTTGTTCTCAGCTATATTGATGCTTTTTCTTTCCTGTTTTCTTTCTACAATGTCTATCTTTAACTGCTTTGACAGATTTCTTCAGGGATTGTTATCTAGTTTTGTTATAAATGTACATGGTTTTCAGGTTTACTGGCATGTTTTAGGTAGGTATTCTGAGATTAAAAACTGCCACTGTTGCTACTATTGTTCCAGAATATTCCTCTGCTTTCAAACTTGCATTTAGATCTGATTCTGTTGAAGTTTATGTGGGTGTATGGCCTGAAGTGCTAAAACCCAATTTTGACTTTTTAAAAAGGGCAATCCAGTGGACCCTGCCACTATCTCAAACCACCACCTGAATGCCAGTGTTTTGAAATGCTACCTTTCATAAATATTAAATGCCCCTATGTACTTGTTTCTATTTTGGGGACTTTCTGCTGGATTTCTCTTATCAATCCATATTATACCACATTGTTTCAAGTATGCTAGCTTCCCTTAGTATCTGACAAGGCTGGTCCCTCTGGGAAATCCCAGTCACATCACTTTTTCACAGTTATTCCTTTTTGATGAGTAGAATTGGGTTAGACCTTCTCATTCTTTAATTTTTGCCTTTCTGGGCTGCATTCAGGATAATTTTTAAGCATCTTTGTTTTGTAGCATATTGTTGCCATATATATGGTCTTTTAAAAAATATCTTGTCCTTGATTAGGAATTCAGTTCCACATTATACTATCTTCGTGAAACGTAAGCCACACGAAACCTGCTCTGGCTGATCTCCAACTGTTTTTAACATTAAAATGTGTGTGAATGTTTTTCCTTTGTTTTAGGTAATGCTGAAGATATAAAGATACACCATAAATTTACTTGATGTGCATGAAAAGATGAATCACACTGTATGAGTCAAAAAGGAATCACAGTTTGCATCAACATTAAACAGAGATGACAAAAAATTCATGGGGAATCTGACATGCAAAGTAGAAGTTGTAACACATCTAAAGATGATTATTCTGGAGTTTTAGTATGTACCTTATGTGGGGAAAATCGGGTTGTCTTTTACACTTTTTAGGGATTTCAAAGTGTCAAAATATGTCAAGTTTTTGACTAATAGGCATTTCATGAAAAGATCAACATCAAAAGAACAAAGGGAACACAAGGTCTACTTCAAGTATGGCGACAGTGGTCGTTTATTCTGGAACAGAACAAATACACAAAGGCCTGCAGGGAGAGTCCAGATCTGATGGTGAGGAGCCACCGCCCTCACAGACCTTCTTCAGCCCCTCTTAAATTCTCTCCTTGAGTTAAGGCCATCCGGTCAGTTCTGCCTCATAACTACCCTACAAACAACTGAACGAAACACTGCACTGTCCTGCTTGGTACCAGCCTGTTGTTTCTGGTCTCACTGATAAAGACTGAATGTTGCTTCCTAACCTTGTGCACTCCTTAATCTGACAGTCAATTGCCTGGAATACAGACAATGAACAAATGTATCACTAGCAAGAGATTTAACATAGATGCTGTTTTGTGTGAGTTCCTAAAAAGACTTCTCGTATGATGACTTTTCTTACCCTTAATGTACAAAACATTTTTAAGTGACTTGTGATTTTTAAACATTGGTGGTCTACACATGCTTTGCTTAATATGGGTGGACAAAACAAAAATTTTTGATAATAAGAATATATTACAAAGAGTCGTGAGTCAACTTCTGACACTAGAGAGGTCCGGCTGGCAGCAATGGTGCTGCCAAGCGGCAACAGAGCCCAGTGAGGCAGGCACAGCCTGGCAGAGACAGGTTTCATTACAAAACAAAGTTTAACTGATGCTACTGAAAGATAGCTAAGTGTTACAAGTAGGGACAGTTGAGAGAGGCAGGAGAAATGCAGTAACAGGTATGCATCCCTTAATGTCCATAACACGCTCTATGACACATGATGTGGATGCTGTGTGACCACTACCTTACACATAGTACATATATTTGACATGTCTAAGTGACCTCTTTGCAGGTGGCTCTGGCCCTCCCTTAGCATTTAAGAACCTCGGTGCTTGCAAGCTTGAACCATCCCCACAGGCACCTGTGGCAGGGCTCACACCAGATCCGTTTCAGCTTGGTTGCCACTAAGACGCAGGAGCTGCTTGGTTCCGCAGTAACACGGAGCTGAGCCATGGCTGCTGTGAAGCTGCAAACAATGCTGACCTCCACTTCCTGGCACCCTCCCAACAAAGTCTCTCCTTTTGTCTATTGCGGTGTATCTACAGTTTTTGTCAGAGTTTACATTTAGCCACAGCAGACTCACTAAAAAAAAGGTTTGAGAAAAGAACTCACATTGGTAGCAGTGCCATGTTGGACTTGACTTGGTTTGATATTAAAAAGGGTTTCTAATACCAGCTCTTGCTTGTAAATGACTGCAGTACTGTTCATGATGTGCTGCCAGGATCTCCAAAGGGTGGGAGGCAGTGGCAGCTCCTATAAAATGCTTAGATTAATAGAATTTCAATCTGCAGGGGGCCTCAGAGGTCTTTCGGCATAGCCCCACCTCTTTTAAGGGAGGACACTGGGGCCCAAAGGTTATGTAACTTACAGGGGCTAGGTATGGGGTGTGGTGTCTGTGTGTGCACACAGGTGTGTGCTGACATATTGCATTCATATTGTGAATTCAAACTGTAATGTATTTTTACTCAATTACTGAGATTATACGTTTCCACTCACAAAAGGAAACTAAAAGGTGTAAAAGCAGCTTTATAATATTCATATCATTTTCTAACCTTCCTTTATGTATTAATAGTAGGATATGAATCTTGTCTTGTTTTCTCAATTAGCAAAACCTTTACTTAGAGAAGTTTAATGCATGCAGAGTGGCTGAGAAAAGCTCCTTGACTTTCTTTTTACAGCTATACCTTCATTCCTTAAACATCTCTAAAGAATCCACATTTGAACTGTGAACTAAGGATAGCCATTCACCTTTTAACTCGCTGTTTTAAAAATAAAGCAAATAAATCCATGTAACAATCATCAAAGATATCAAAACATGGACCTTGGTCTGTAAGTTTCACCCAAAGTTAAGTCAGCTATCTTTTATTAAAATTAAAACCAACTTTTAGTAAGCATGAAATATCTATTTCATTAACACATTCCTATGTACTTCAAATGGTATGTAGACAGGAGTGATGAAATTATTTGGTTTTGTCCACCACTTCCCTCCACCCCCACCCCCAATAAGATTACATATGGACTAAGTAAACTTGGTTAAGATTTCATAGCCTAATTGTACTTTTGTGATGAAATTTTATGAGTAAACCACTGCTTACTATTAAGTCAGTAAGATACATTAAATAACCAGAATGATTTTGTTTTGTTACCATTTGTAGTAACTGGTTTTATACTCACAGAACATGGGAAAGGTGGAATACAACTATGAATGGTCATTAAGGTCCAGTGGAACTGTCTACACTTTGACCTTAAAGGTTTTTAATTATGATAGTGGCACTGATCACTTGCCTTTGAAATGAACTATAGAAAAGATAAATTTATAAATTTATTTCCATTAAACTGTGTATTAATTTTTTTTTCATGATCAGACTTTGGAAGTATTTTAGGGTGAAAGTTGGGGGAATGGCTTAATTATCTATTGAAGTGTTTGTACGTTTTTTGTGTTGAGGGCAAAACTTTTAAATATACAAGGGACAGTGATTTAGTGCACTTTACAATGTGCCCCTTGTATATTTAAAAACCTGATAAAATTCTAGCTCTGTACATTGAAGGATTACTTGATGTCTCTTTTTTTACTTTAGAAAATTGGATTTTATGGATTCATGATTAACCTTAAAATATTGTTAATAATTTTTTTAAAGTAAAATGTGTATTATTACATCTGGTAAAGTTAAATGACTTGACATATTCTCATCTTAAGTTAGAAAAGTATATAAACTTCAAATACCAAACCTTCTATAAAGTGAGGTCCTACACCTAATCCGTTTGAAACAAATGCTCATTTCTTCATCTTTACTCTTAAGTAGGAGACAATTCTACCACTCTTAACCAGTCAAAACCCTCATTTAACTGGCAGAGATCATACCATGCATGCTTCAATATTTTATATCCCACAAAGACTCTTATCCTTTAATGGATGCGTGGCAAATATTTGCGAAGTCCAAATACGTGTAAGTGATTGTGACTGATGACACATGTGGTCCTAGTTACAGCTTAATTTTCCACATAACTAAGGTTTGCCTTTTAGCTCCCTTTACGAGATCACAGCCAGATTCAGACGAACAAAAAGAAAGCACAGTTTTGATAATTACATATGCTATTACAGTTTTTGCTTGTCCGATGCCAAAAGGTTAATATGCAGACCCTTTTTGTTCCTAGGAAAACCCACTCCTAACAAATTGCCTGGAGGCTCCACCATATCAGGACACCAAGAACAAATGATAAGACAGTAGTTATCAAAGATAATGTTAATATTCTACATCAGTGGTTCTCAACCTTCCTAATGCCATGACCCTTTAATACAGTTCCTCATGCTGTGGTGACCCCCCTACCATAAAATTATTTTCATTGTTACTTTATAACTAATTTTGCTACTGTTATAAATTGGGCAACCCCTGTGAAAGGTTCGTTCAACTCCCAAAGGGGTCGTGACCCACAGGTTGAGAACCGCTATTCTACTTTGTACAGTTGTAATGTGATGTTGCTACACCATAACAATCAGGGCCTTAAAAGTTTGTGAGCAGTAATCTAAAGTACAACTATTGAACGAAGAGTGATGAAGAGCATCAAAAGGCATGGAAGCAATTAGTCCAGCTAGACTAATTATAATTAGTTAGACCATACAAACATCAATCTATACAACTTTGAAACCAGAAGAACAAGCACTAATCAATGCTCTGAAAAGAATCACATTTGAAGGTCGCCAAAATATTAGGCTTCCTGATCAGATAAAGATTTGTAGAAAATCCTAAGACTGAGTACAGCCCTTAGATACCCCTAAAGGTTCGGGACTGAACTTGCCTTCCATGTTAGAATCAATCATCCATTTAGACCAAAAGGGGAACATTCACCCCAGGACAAAGCTCAGTGGGTTAGAAAAGGAAGAGGAATGGAAATAGGAAATGGAAGAAATGGGAAAAGTGGTATTACACTGATGGGATTGCAACTGAATCCGAAGTATATGAATTGTACATAAAACTCATGATCTGCTTGGCAAGCCACCTAATTCACAAAAAAGTTAAGAAAGGATATAACCTTGATGCACACCTTTTCTTAAAAAAGAAAAACAAATGGGTAGTGGGGTAGCAAAAAGCCTAGGTGTTTCTATAGCAGACCCAGACCTGTTTACTCAGTAACATCCATAGCATTCACAGTAGGGCACACAATCAGACAAACAGGCTACAAAAAAAAAAAAAAGACGGGTTAGCTGCTTTAAAATAGTTCTAGAAAAAAATCTATCAGTATCAAGTTTGCAAGAAATGTGTCAGATCAAGAGTTAATGCAGTTAGAACCCAGAATCCTCCTAACATATTGTTACTTGTAGCTAAATTGGTTCATTCTATCAAGGGAATGGAGCACCGCCTAGTCTTGCATCTGCCATCTTCATGAACTCTGTTTGAATCCATAGTCACAGCTATTCTATCTCATTGAGATTTTCCCTCCTTTTCCAAGTATGATGTCCTTTTCTAGCAATTGGTCTTTCCTGGTGATGTAGGCCAAGGTAAGTAGGTCAAAAATCTTGCTTCTAAGGAGTAGTCTGTGTTTTTGTATTTCTCCCAAGACTCATTTGTTCATTCTTTTGGCATCCACAGTACATCCACTATTCCTTGCTCATACCACAACTGGAATATATCAACCCCTGCAGGGTCTTCCTTTCTCACCATGCAACTTTTGCAGGATTATGAGGTGACCAAAAAGAGCATGGATGGGTGAGGGGGGCACCTCAGTCATCAAAGTCATGCCTTTCCTTTTTAAAAGCTTTTAAAAAGTGTTTACAGCAGATGTGTTCAATGAAATAATGTTGCTTGATTTCTTAACTGCTACTTTTTACTACAAACCAAAGATAAAATTGTTGCTAGTCTTAGGCCAAGTCCCCAAAGCCAATTTAAAGATCAGTGGAGGACCCAGGAAGTTGGACAGCTGCAGTAGTGGCACTGAAAGAGAACACCATACCTGACTGGGAGAAGAATGAGCAGAGGGTGGGGATGGTCGTTGGCAGTGGGCACTTGTAGGGATGGGTGGATATGGTCCCTTTCACAAAGCCACAGCGTATTTTGGGGAACAGCTTTCTCTCATCTGAAAATGTTTTCTAGGTTAAAATGTAGGAAATAAAGGAACACACCACTTTTAAATCTAGACTTTAAAATTAATGATCTGTCTATTCCTACTTTTTGAAAGTCACTACTAGCAAACAAAATTAGTAATCTTATTTTTTTAAAGTATCTAAAGTAACAGTAAAAGACTATTTTTAAAAATTTATATTCTTATAGATACCCATCTTTATATTATGACATAAAACCACAATCCCAATGTAACCTAACCTCCCTTTAGCTCAGAGTCCTCGCAGAAGCCCCTTTAAAATATTTTTACCAAAATCCCATACAAATGTTAAACTCTTTAACTGCAATCTTCTTTTGGAGCTTCTCAAATCAGTTTCTGAACAAGCACCTTCAATTCTTTATATGTCTTGATAGTGTTCTCAATTTTCATCTCCAGCAGTGCATTTTTGTCAAGAAATTTATTAACCTTTACAAACACTATTTCCACTCCATCGTTCATAAAAAATGATTTATGATTAAATCTGTAATAAAACCATATAACGTCCATCAATGCATCCACTAAGACCAGCTTCATCTATGGAATATAATAAACCACTTTAAAACAGCAGTTTCATTCATGTCATGTAAGGCTGTCACATTAAAAACATTCCTCATAATGAGTTGTTATCCGCAAAATCCATTTCTTTTCACGTTATGTGGCAAGACTGATGGATGTATGCTCTGAAAGGAATCTGCAATTAGGTTCTAACCCTTTATGATCCATTGTACAGTCTCTCAAACAAGTTTCACAACAGGAAAATATTTGTGGGCAGAGAAATCAAATTCAGGAGGAACCTGTAAAGAAAATCAGAAAATTTCTTTATATACTTTTAGACAGTAGACAAAAATTTTGGTTTCTTGTGTTTTTTGAGAATACCAAAAATCAAACTCGCTGTCATCAAGCCAATGCTGACTCATAGTGATCGAGTGTGTTTCCAAACTGTAACTGTTTACAGGCGTAGAAAGCCAGTCTTCCTCCCAAGAGCTGCTGGTGATTTCAAACTGCCAACCATGCGGACTGCGGCCCAACATGTAACCGCTACACCCCCAGGGCTCCTTTTTCAAGAAGAGGTAGCACAAAAGAGACCCAATAGTGATCACCAGTAAATGACAAAAAGTTAGGAAGTAACCTAGCAGGGAAAAGCCCATCAGTTTATCTCTGGTTTAAAGAGGTTAGTAGCAAACATGCTGACCAGCTGTTTTATATCTTCACCAAAAAGTTGAGGGGAAATGGAAAATAATTCAATTAGATCTTGCACCAACAACCCATTTCGTTCCGGGGTCACTGACAGTACTAAGTAATGCCAATGAAAGTCACGATAGACAAGGAGAAAACAAGGGTAAACAAAGGGATGGGGAATCCACTGGCAAAGCCATCAAAAATGCCTCAGTGGCTGGCTTCTTACTGCACAGGCAGTAAATACTAAAAGGTACTGTTCTACTTTGCAGGGAAAGCTTACAGCTCTCATTTCCTGAGCCCTTAAAACAGAAAAAAAGTTCTTAATTACTGAACCTTCCAAAGAACAAATGAATATAAATACCTTTCCCCGAAATTTGGGTTTTTTAAAATCCTCAAGTCATTCTGTAATTTATGGAGCAAGGAAGGAGAAAAGGGCAGACTTTTAAAATCAACTAAATCTATAAATTTCAAGGCAAAATAATAAGCTGTAGTTGATTTGTTTTCTGTATGCTAAATCTCAGGATGATTTTTAATTAACATTCTTTTGGGGTAATAATATTTATGCATCTTAGTGGAGAAATATGTGAAAATGTTATTAATTTAAAGGCCATTTCTTTTCCCCATAATATACTTACCTTAGATTCCTTTTTATGCCCTCCTGCCAATAACTTCATAACCACAAAGTTGGGTTTGGCAACCTTTAATATTCTACTGACCTAAACAAATGAGCAACATTAAGCTATCAAAACAAAATGCATATTCATCACTTGAATCTATTATATTTAAAGGTACTAATAGGAATTTTGCACAACTAAATTTGCTGAACTAAAACAGTTTAAAATTATGAACAAACATCATACTTGTTGTAATGCAAAACTAATCAATTCTGAACACTAGAAAGGGCTGCTATATCGTAATCTAATTAGCAAAGTATTAAGAGCATGAGCTCAGGAGTTGCTATTTCAAATTTCACCTTTGCCTTCTACTAGCTGTGAAAATTCAGTAAAAATCCCTACCCTTTTTCTCCTCTTTTACCTTCGAAAATTGGAATCATAATGCTA